TTGTTGATTTCTTTGTATACTTCAAGGATGTTTACATGTGTAAACAGAAAATCCACTTTACCCACAGAAAATTAATATAAAAAATTGAGTTCTAACAAGATGATGAAATGGGCTGCCTTCAATAATCTCTCAATTAAAGGTATTTTAGTAGTTGCCATGGGAATGTTGTAGTATATTGAACTCCATAACTTTTTAAGGCCATCATTTCCAGGCCAGGTTGTTACTTTACTCTGTGTGTGTGTGTGTGTGTGTGTGTGTGTGTGTGTGTGTGTATGTGTGTAAGAATTGTGGTTATAAAAAAAAGAAGAAAAATTGTGGTATAAAGAATATTTGGTCTCTGTTCTAGTTTCTGTTACAAAGTGCCTAAAACCCTTAGCATTTCCTGGTTGGTAGGAGTCTCTTGCTATTTTTAAGAAATAATTTAAAATTTTTTCAGTTGACATATAACATTGTATTAGTTTTAGGTATACAACACACTGATTAGACATTTATATAACTTAAGACAGTGATTTTCAACCAGTATGCCACAAGAATTTTTATAACATGCAATACCTAATTATAGTGCCTATCTGATACCAGGCATAATTATTACAAAGGAGTCTATTGCTATTTATAAGGAGTTCCTTTGGGACACACCTTAGTTTAGACCAAACACTTGATTAGTTAGACCTTTCAATTCTACTAACCTGCAGATACGGGATTGAGCTCTATAAAAAGTCTTGGAAAAACCTATAAAAAGCTCATGATCTGATGAACTTCCAGATTGATGAACATATGATGTCACCCAGAGATGACATGGAAACTCTGTCCTCCCTCCTCACCTTGCCCTATGCTTTTCTTCCATTTGTTCTGAGTTCCAGCCTTTATAGTAAAGCAGTAAGCTATATATATAAAAAGCCTAATATGCTAAGTATCTCACAGTTCAGTAGCTATGATGTGCACTGACCACCAGGGGCAGATGCTCAACACACAGGCATGGAAACATGGAACAGAATGATGAATTTCAGAGGGAAGAGATTAACCAAAGATCTTATATGCATATTAGAGGTCCAGTGCACGATGCACGGATTCATGCACTGGTGAGGTCCCTTGGCCTGGCCTGCTGGGATCAGGCCAAAACCAGCAGTCTGACATCCGCCAAGGAGTCCTGGATTGCAAGAGGGTGCAGGCCAGGCTCAGGTATCCACTGGTGCACAAATCAGTGCACGGGCCTCTAATAGTAAATAAAGCACTCATCTGAATTTAATGAAGTCGTTCCAGCATATTATCAAACCTGAGTAGCCAGCAAATTTATTTATAAGGAATTACTTATAAGTAACAAGTAGCCTGGGTACTCACAGCACTCATCACTGGTGCCCAAGTGAGGATAGTCTTGTGGCCCTGAGCCCTTAGTCACATCCCTGAAACCTGTGGAGTCTGGCACTACCTCTGATTAGTTAATGTCAGGATTGAAGTGACGTGTTGGATGCCCAGTTGGCATTAGAGAATTGATGTCAGGGGAAAAGACATACATTCATTTCAGAAAACATAACAGTTGTATACATTTCCCTGCGGTCAGAACTCAAGCTCTTCGATAACAAATCTATCCCATAATTTGTAGCACCTAGCCTGGTGATTTATGCATTGTAGGTGCTAAACTAAGAATAAATTTTTTCTAAATGAAACTGGTGTCTGTAATTAACATTAAGCCTTTATATACAGATGTTTCATCAAGAAATAGAAGTAGAGATTATTTTATGCAAGAGCAATTTTCATTTACAAAAATTGAGATTTGGAACATACAGTGTTGGTGGGGTGGCATGTCTCTTTTTTTTTTTTTAACATAATTCAGTGATTATTGTATATATACAGAATTATACAACCAGTAGCCCAGTCAGTAATGCCAAAAAGAAGCCCCATAACCACCCATATCCATTAGCCATCATTCCCCATTTTCCTCCAGTCCACCCAGCACTAGGCAACCACCAATCTACTTTCTCTATGGATTTGCTTATTCTGAACATTTAATATAAATAAAATCACCATATGTGACCGGTTTTTTGTTTTTGTGACTGGTTTTATTATCAAAAATTTATTAGTCTGTGAACATTGTGTTTTTACTTTATTTTTTATATTTATTTTCAGTGATTTTAGAGGGAGAGGTGAGGGAAAGAGAAAGATGTCCATTGCCTACTGGGGACTGAGCCCGCATCCAAGGGTCAACCCAGAATCAATTTCTGGTGCACTTCTCAGTGCACAGGATGATATCCAACCTATTGGGCCACACCAGCCAGGGCTTTTAAGATGAATGATGTCTGACTGAAGGACTCAAGAAGGTGGATTATCAAGACATTCAGTAACCATACTTAAGTTTTGTGGGAATGTCCTAATCCAGCGTGTTGGCTTGTGGGCCAGCTGTCTGCTTTTATTGGAGCACAGACATACCCATTCATTTGCAGATTGTCTAGGCTGCTGTCATCCAAGAACTGCAGAGTTGAATAGTTGCAACAGAGACTATATGACCCATAACCTTTTATCTGACCTAATCTTTTTTTGAAACCTTAACTTTAAGAACTTGCCTTCATGTTTACTAAGTACCCTTTTCTCTTTTTCTTGTTTTTGGACAGGCAGAGAATATTTATAATGATGAAGACCCTGAAGGAAGTGTGGATCCAGAAGGACAGGGGTCTTAGATTCATCTGCACTTGTAATTTTAGACTGCCCTTTTTTTCCTCTCAACCCTGATAGTGATTTAACACTGGTTTTGAGACACAGATTTTGTTCAGCTATCCCTCTATAGTAGGTACCATCAACAATACTATTAACCCAAACCAAGGGGTTTTCTAAAGATTAACTGAGGGGTTTGATTCAGCAAAGCCACAGACTTATATTTAAAACTTTTTCAGGAATTTTCTAGTATCAAAGAACTAAAGTAGCCACTGAAAGGGGAATATCGTGTGGTTATTTTCTCTGTCTGCCATATCCCCACGTTTTTCAGGCTCATTTAGTAAAGGCTAGAAGTAAATAAGGAATAGAGCCAAGAGAGGTAGGTGTGTGAGCCATGAAGTGTAAGTACTGCAAGGTGTTTTTATTCAGGAATTAGGGGAGGTTCGAGTCATAAATTCCTACTCTAAAGTGTTCACACCTGACTTTTCCAGGTTGCACATTTCCTACGTAGACTAGTCTCCTCTCAGTTTCGTAAGTCAGAAGTACGTGTTCCTGTTTTTCCATATATTTTTGCTTGTTAGTGTATTTCTTGAGCTGATTTCATATTATTTCTTTCCTTTCTGTGAAATGGTTTTTTTAAAAAACTTGGGACCACCAAGTTGTAAAGATGTATGTTTTTACCTGACAGTTATACTATACTACAGGTAGACTGTCCAGCTAAGTTGAGAAGAGTGAATCTATAGCTTGTATTTGTTTTTAAAATTAAATTAATCCTGGATAAGAGTTGCTTTTTTTTTTTTTTTTTTTTTTTTTTAGGAGTTAGTCCTTGACCACTAGTTTGATTCCATCTCTGTTTTGGGAGACCTGTTTCACTAACAGGCCTGTTATTCTCTATGACTAACTGTGTAAGTGCTTATAATGAAATAAATTGCTTTTCTACATAACCCCATGCTGATGGGCTTTACTTAGTATATAATATCAAACACCAGTCTCTGGCTTCTAGAAGAATTCTTTAGATGACAATTATTTTCTGTGGTCTCTATCAAGAGCAGAATCCTATCTAATAAAAAGTGAGTACTGGTATGCTAATTGACCCTCACACTGTCACAAAGACGGTGCTATCCACAGCCAATAAGGAAGGAATATGCTAATTGACTGACACCCTCAAAAAGATGGCAACACCCAGTCCCCTTAACCCCGCTGGGGCGCCTGCCTCTGGAGTCCCCCAGTCTCTCAGCCCCCCAGCTGCCCAGGGCTGGCCGAGGCACTGTTGGCAGTAGCAGCAGCAGAGGTATGATGGGGCATCGCCTTACGCTGATGGCTTGGTGGGCTCCTGGACTGTGAGAAGTGATAGGCTGGGCTGAGGGACCCACCCACCTCCATTGAATAAATTTTCATTCACTGGGCTTCTAGTTAATTATACCCAGAGCTATAGAAAATAGTTTTACTCCTTCCCAGGGAAAGTGAAAGACATAAAACTTTGAATCATAGGTGTACAGATTAGTCTTTGATAAAATAACATTTTTTTGAAGTCTACCCATAGAGAACTACATGGACTTTCAAGCATGTCCAAGGCAGTGTGGCAAAGATTTTAAGGCAAAATTTAAATTTAGAAAAGGTGTTGGAACCTTTTCTCAGAGAGCTTGAATCTCCCCAGTATGTTTTTCACTGGGGCCTCTTCTTAGAAGTGCCATAACCAGATAAAATGCCTTGTTCTTTGCAGTCACTCAGTTTAAGTAGATTACTCCAAAAATCATTTTCATGAGGCACGATTTTTAGGGAAATCTGAATATCCTTAACCTTTAGATTCAGATTGAGTTCCTTTTTTTCAGGAACTTTAAGTTCTTCTAGAGTATAGTGAAAATTATCTTGACACAAGAGTAAACTGCATTAGCATAAAAAGTACACTTTGTAAAAGGATTCATTTAAAGTCCAACATTCATGGCACAAAAGAATTCAAATTATAAACCCATACGATGGAAATTGGCTGCCTTTTGACCCCACCTGTGCTCCAAAAAAAACTTTTTTGTTTAGGTCAACATAAGGCAAGTTTCATTCTGCACAAGACTGCGAGGGTGCAGACTCCTCCTTGCTGCTGGTAGACAGGAGGCCCTTTTTCCCCCGTTCCTCCGTGCATTGAAGTCATTACCAGCAGCCTGGGAAATAGAATCCAGCTAAGAGCTGGCTGGTGTGTTCTGCCTCCAGCCAGCCTAGAATCTTCTTAAACAGGTCAGCCAGTGTTTGTATCTTCCCCAGGGTGAATTGCTTGCCAAGTTCCTGGCACTCTCTTCTCTGTTTGGAAAAAAATATGTCCAAAAGATATTTAAGTGATCCTTTGTTAGGAAGCTTTTTTGGTTTCTGGGTTACAGATTCGGCCATACATTTCTAAACAGCTCCTGTAAGATTGAAAGAAAAAGAATAAATTGATTATTTCTGCAACTTGAAATAATTCTGTATAATAAAAGGCTAATATGTAAATAGACTGAACTGCAGAATGACTGGTCACTATGATGTGCACTCACCACCAGGGGGCAGACACTCAACACATGAGCTGCCCCTGATCAGTGTGCTCTCCATGGGGTAGCGCTGCGCAGCCAGAAGAACCGGGCTCATGGCTGGCGAGTGCAGTGGTGGTGGCGGGAACCTCTCGCCTCTACAGCAGCGCTAAGATTGTCCGACCGCCGTACCCTGCACTGCCAGAGGATGCAGGCCAGGCTGAGGGACTCGCCCCCCCTTCCCCCAAGTGGACGGATTTTGTGTCTAATACAGTATAACGTTTATAACTGAACTTTGAAATTTATTGTAGGTTTTGTTACCGGTCATTCTGGGGAGAGACTGGCTCATATGATCAGGGTTGACTTTCCCCTATGACATAGTTGGGTGATTCTTATTTGCAAAGTAATGAATGTTAATCTATGTGATGGTGATGGGAGGGGCTAGCTAAAATTTTTCTCTGTCCAGATTAAATTTACACAGGTATTACAGTGCCTGAAATTCTGTCATTTTCTTTGAATTAATCATTGCTTTTTTTCCCTATTGTACTTTTAATCTGATCCACACAAAGGTGTTTAGCAGATCATTTTCCTCAATTACACAATTCTAGTATTCTCCCAAACAATAAGCGTAATCTGTTATGCCTGGAAAAAAACACAGTAAAAGAAAATCCTAGTGAGTTAGGAAAAGCATTAGTTACAGTAGTCATTCTTGAGTCTGTATCCAAGCTGTAAGATGAGCTAGGAAGTTGAGAATAAAATTTATGGGCATCTAGCTAGTATGTACTTCACAGAGACCTTTTTTAATCTTAGTTTCTTTATCCAAGAGGATCTAAAACGTGAAAAGTGAGAACATACTGGTATATAGAGAAATTAATGGATAGGTGTGTTGCTTGTTTCACATACTGAGCAATAATCCTGTTCCTCCGTTTATAAACAACACCCTCTTTGGCTTTTCTATACAGATTAATTTTGCTGCCTTGGCCTCTTTTGTCATAGTTTGAATTTAGGCAGCATAACTACCTTTTGCTATTCTAAGAAAACTATTTCTGAATAGCAGGTGGGGTAAGGTGGGAGAATGCAGATGTTTTATCCTGTTACAGATTTCCTGGATCATTAGAGAGTATCTTTTTAGTCGTATCAGAAACAAGCATTCCAAAAGAATCCTGAATGCTTGAACCGAGCAGTTTGGAGGTACGTGTTATCCCTACATGATTCGTCATTAGACACACACACTTAAGTTCTTTTAAGGCATTAGTATTGTTAAGAAAGTAAAATGCAAACTCCACTCTTGTATCTACAAGGATCACCTTGAGACTGTGTCTCGATTCCACCTGCCTGAGAAGTGGGAGTATTAGCCTGCTCCGGGCTCTTGGGTAGCATAGCCCTTGAAAAAAGAGAGAGAGCCATTTTCTATCTGTTCATGGATGAAAAATTTCCCCAGTCATTTGTCTCCCACTGTGGAGTGAAATTTTCCCTCGAGCAACATCTGCCTTTCCCGCCATTCACCCCTTCAGCCAGTGTTAGATGAGATTTGGATAAGCAGCAAAAACTGACTTATAAGTGGAAAGCTCTTTAGCAAGGCTGATCCGTAGCTGCTCCATCTCTTTGTTCTTCTGCTGTTGGAGTTGCACCCCACTTCTTAACTGTGTCTGTTGTTCTTCCATTTTCTCCAGCTGTTCCTGCAAAGGGGGCCAAGAACATATTTGATGAGCCGAACAATAAAAATCTTACATTGGCCGTTACAGTTTACAAAGCACTTCGTTGTACACTGTTTAATCTTCATAGAAGTATTAAGGTTGAAACAGATTAAAGAGGTGTTTGACAAAGTGATACTCCATTTGCAGATGGTGAAGAAAGGAGTCTTGTCCGTTAATCACAGCTTGCTTAATGTGATCCTGCGACAGTAGTACTCAGAGGGACTTTTAGTTTCACAATTTTAAGAAGTGTTGGGGAGGATTTTGGTCCTCTTGGTGAGCTGGGAATTTTATACACCTTTTGCTTGCTCTGTGTGCAAGTGTGTTTCCATTAAGACTGAGTTTGTTCAAAAATGTTAAGTTGGAAAAAGATGCTAGCCCTAGCAGGTTTGGCTCAGTGGATAAAGCATTGGCCTGTGAACTGAAGGGTCCCAAGTTCGATTCTAGTCAAGGGCACATGTCCAGGTTGTGGGCTTGATCTCCAGTAGGGGGCGTGCAGGAGGCAGCCAATCTGATTTTTTTGTCATTGATGTTTCCCTATCTGAAATCAACGTATTTTTTTAAATAATAGAATTTCTTTAAAAAAAAGATGCTATGCCCTGCGGGCCCTCTGGAGCTTTCAGATAACTTTCCCAACAGGCAGGGTGCATTCTGTAAATCATTTAATGCCTGAGGAATGAGGTAAGGAAGATAGCAGCGGATCAGTCTGGTGTGTGTTCCTAGCTGGCATGGATCCTTAGGAAGTGTGAGGGAGTTGGGAAAGCGTTCAAGTTTGAAGGCATATTTTAAAGAGGCAGGAACTTCTCAAGTTTTAATAGTGAGATAGGAATCCAGCCCTAGCTGGTTTGGCTCAGTAGACGGAGCCGCAGACTGAAGTGTCCCCAGGTTCAATTCCAGTCAAGGACACAGGCCTGGGTTGCAGGCTCAGCCCCCAGTAGGGGGTGTGCAGGAGGCAGCCAATCCGTTCTCATTGATATTTCTCCTCTGAAATAAAAATATATTTTAAAAAGATAGGAATCCAGCCGGGACCGGTTTGGCTCAGTGGATAGAGCGTCGGCTTGGGGACTGAAGGGTCCCGGGTTCGATTCTGGTCAAGGGCATGTACCTTGGTTGCGGGCATATCCCCAGTAGGGGTGTGCAAGAGGCAGCTGATCGATGACTCTCATCGATGTTTCTAACTATCTCTCACCCTTCCTCTCTGTATAAAATCAATAAAATATATTTAAAAAAAAAAAAAAAAAGATAGGAATCCAGTTTGGATACATGCTATTAGAAGTATCTAATTTGTTCTCTGAGTCATCCTTGCTATACCTGTGGCACATCAATCTGCAATGGTTGATACTCTGGCTGAAACTCAATTTACATAAACATTACCAAAAGGCCTTTTTTAGTGCTTAGTCATGCTTTATACCACACAGAAATGGGGCCTTACTCTCTGAGTGAGTCAGCTGACGGGAAGTATTTGCATACCTCTACCCTAATTTCCCAAATTCCACTAGCAAACCTGTTATTTTGACAAGGCACAAAAGTACATGCTTGAGAAGGCAGTCTGTACCCTCGGTGCTCTGACAGGAAGAAACTCGGAGAAGGATATATTGCTGCAATGACTGGCATTAGGATAGTGTCCATCTTAAACTGATGTAGCACCAATAGATTAACTTTCAAAAACGGCTCTATCTCAGTCTTCCAAAGGCTTCCCGCTTCCTTTAATCTAGACGCCCTCCAGTTTCACCCCTACCTCTATCTAGAACCTCCTTTACTCTCCAAATGATCATTTCCCCCTATCTTGCATTATCCGTGTGTAAGTTGCTAGCCATGTGGGGCTAGTGAGTACTTGAAATATGGCTCGTCCAAATTGAGATGTTTAAGTGCAAGATTTCTAAGACTTGGCACAAAATGAGATACCTCGAAATTTGATATTGACTACATGTAGAAATTACGTTTTTATATGCTGGGTTACATAAGATATTTAACCTATTTTTTTAAGTGTCACTAGGAATTTTACGTGGCATCTGTGTCTTACATGAGACTTGGGTTGGGCAGTGCTGCTCAAGCCTGACCAACTCCGATCTCCAGGCCTTTACTTCTGTCACATAGACAGCATCTGCTTTGTATTGCTATTTATCTTTAAACTCATGTCTAACTTCCAGATTGTAGGTTCCTGGAAGTACACATATGCTTGTTGATGTGAAATTTGCAGATAGTAAGCATATTCCATGTTTCAGCATGAGCAACCTACCAATTTCCAGTTAAAAACATTCTCAGCATATTTCTTACCCCACCCACTGTAGCCAGTCACCAAGCCCTACCGATTTTATCCTACGTATCCCACACCTCTCATAAAGTTTTGTTTCAGGCTTTTTCAATCCACCCACCATTTTAAGCTAGAGCCCTGACTGATTTGGCTCACTGGATAGAGCCTCAGCCTGCGGACTGAAAGGTCCCTGGTTCAATTCCAGTCAAGGGCATGTACCTTGGTTGTGGGCACATCCCTAGTAGGGGGTGTGCAGAGGCAGCTGATCGGTGTTTCTCATTGATGTTTCTAACTATCCCTCTCAGTAAAAAAATCAGTAAAATATATATTTTTAAAAGTATATACCTATGGGCCAGGCATCATTGAACATTTTTTACAAACATTAACTAGTTCATTCCTTGCAAAAGCCCTTTGATGTGTATTACATGTGAAGGAGCAGAGCCATGTGGATTAATTGTCCAAAGTTCCCCCCAGTTAGAAAGTGGTAGAGCCAGGACTTAGGCAAGTCAGTTTCCACTAAGACAAATTTGCACAAGCTCATATTCTTTTTTCTTTTTTTTTAAATATATTTTATTGCTTTTGTATAGAGAGGAAGGGAGAGAGAGAGTTAGAAACATCGATGATGAGAGAGTCATCGATCAGCTGCCTCTTGCACACCCCCTACTGGGGATACGCCCGCAACCAAGGTACATGCCCTTGACCGGAATCGAACCCGGGACCTTTCAGTCCCCAAGCCGACGCTCTATCCATTGAGCCAAACCGGTTTCGGCCACAAGCTCATATTCTTAAGGCTCGTTAGTGATTTTCAAGCTTTCCCATGAAACCCAGAAAGAAGCCAAAATGAAGTGTCCTTGCCACCTATCAGTAGCTCCACTTTTGCCTGTTTTACATATTGGCATTTCATCTAAAATTCTATTTTGAGGAAAGGGCCTGGCTTTGGAGGAAACATTTTTGCATAAGCCCTTTACATTCTGATCCCCATCTACCTCTCCAGCCCCATCACTCTGCTCACGTTCCTTATGATCCAGCCACCCTCGCTTCCTATGACATGTCTTTGCGCTTTCACGCTTTTGTGTAGCCTGTTCCATCTGATTGGAAAGCCTTTCCTTTGTCTACCCCATGAATTCATTTATACAAACACATTGTGGTTGACTATGGGCTTGAGCTAGATTGCTCAGGGTTAGAATATGCATCATGTCCTAGATGCATAACCTTGGACAAATGACTTAACTTCTTTCTCACCTGTTTTCTCATTTTTCAAATGACAGTAATTCATACCTAACATAGAGAGGTAAGAATTAAATGAATCACTACATATAAAGAACTTCAACTTCATAAAATTTCTATGCTTCAACAGAACATGCCTTATTCCTATAACTATTACAGTGTTTGACACATTGAAGTCTTGTATTTCATTATTCTAAGGCTTTGACATTTTAACAGATCAGAGTGCATCTTAAAATCAAGTGTCTTAGATTTTATGTAATATGTTCATTTTCTGGCATCCTTCCTAGACTGTAAACTGTTGGAGAGCAGAAACTCCTCTTCCTCCCCATTTCTTATTTCTTGTCAGCACATAGTTCACTCCCTGGCACATAGTAAGTAGATAATACCTGTTGACTATTTGGAAGAGGTAGAGCTTACAATTTTTATTTTATTTTATTGATTTTTTCAGAGATGAAGAGAGAGGGATAGAGAGAAAATCAGCTGCCTCTTGCACACACCCTACTGGGGATGTGCCCGCAACCAATGTACATGCCCTTGACCGGAATCGAACCTGGGACCTTTCAGTCAGCAGGCTGATGCTTCTAACTCTCTATCCCTCTCCCTTCCTCTCTGTAAAAAAATCAATAAAATATATATATTTTTAAAAAATAATAAAGGATTTGGGGGATCAATAAGAGGATCAAATGAGATAATTGGTATAAAAGGGTTTAAATTAAGAGTGCCAGTCATTTTCAGCCTCAAAGAAGTTCCTACGTATGACAGTGAGTGTCCTTCAGCCCAAAAGGTATTTGACTCCTTTCCTTCCCCTTCCCCAAGCCAAGAGACTGGAATCCCTCTCATGCCCAGTGGGCCTACCCTGTACTGCTGCACTTCCTCGTCGCGCTTCTGCCTCACAAGTGTGATCTGGTCCTCCAGGTTCCTGTTTAGCAGGTGGAGCTGCTGGGCCTCGGCTTGCAGGGGCCTCAGCGCCTCCTTCATCTGCTGGACCTCCGCCTGGGTTTTCTGCAGGGCCTTGGCAGCCGCCTCCTTCCTCTCCAGGAGCCGCAGCAGCTGCGGCTCGTACTCCTCCTCCAGGCCCTGGCGGCGCTCTGCCATGAGGTTCTCGAACTGGGCCGAGAGCCGCCGGCTCTCCTGCAGGAATTGTCCGTCCCCCTGGCTTGGAGGCGCTTCTATTTGTTGCCGTAGTTGCTCCTTCTGCTTCTGGTAGGCATCCCGGAGCCGGGCCAGTTCCTCTGAGAGCTGGGCTGCCCGTGCCGTCAGCACTTCCCGGAAGTCGGCAAACTGGGCCACGTCCTGCTGGCGGCACTCCAGCTGGTATTGGTAGGCCACGCATTCCTTGGTCACCTTGAACAGCTTCTGCTTGACCAGCTGGATCTCCTCCCGGAGCCCGTCCCGCTCCAGCTCGGCCTGAGCATGCAGTTTGTAGGCATCCAGGATGTCCTGGTGCACCTGTTCCACCTCCTGGAGAGCTGGCTCCCGGAGCAACACAAGCTCGTGGATGAGCTGATCCCGCTCCTCCTCCAGCTGGGACACAGCTTGGACACATTCCTGGAAACGCCCCTCGAGCAATTCTAGGTCCTCTATGCTCAGGCTCTCCTCTGTGCTGGAACTAGGCCCGGCTCCAAGGCTCTCGGGGTTAGGCTTCTCTTCGTTTGTGACCGTCTCTCCCCCATAAGCCATCTGCTCTGGGCTTGTCTCCTCCGGCTTCACAGGCTCCTCCACACACAGTGTGTCCTCCGGCTTCCCAGGCTCCTCCCCATGCAGTGTGTCCTCCGGCTTCACAGGCTCCTCCGCACGCAGTGTGTCCTCCAGCTTCACAGGCTCCTCCGCACACAGTGTGTCCTCCAGCTTCACAGGCTCCTCCTCCGGCTTCACAGGCTCCTCCACACACAGTGTGTCCTCCAGCTTCACAGGCTCCTCCTCCGGCTTCACAGGCTCCTCCGCACGCAGTGTGTCCTCCGGCTTCACAGGCTCCTCCACACACAGTGTGTCCTCCGGCTTCACAGCTTCCTCCTCACACACGGCCTCACTGGGCTGCTTGTCATCCTCAATATACAGTGTCTCCTCAGGCTTCTCAGTCTCTTCCAGATACAGTGTGTCATCGAAGTCACCTGAGTCCCCCAGGAAGAGCAGATCCTCTATATTCAAGATCCCCTCCAAAGGCCAAGTATCATCCAGGGATTCAGAGTGTCCCATCTCTTGAAAAGTTCTTGTTTCCCTGCAAAAGAAATTACTTAAAGTGAGAGGGCAGCCACAATCCCAAGACGATTCGTGGCTGGAGCCATTAGGCCATAGACCTTAGTTAGATCAGGTTCTCACATCTCCGCACTTATCCCCACCCAGCCCAGTGCTTAGACCCCCTGACAACGTACCCCTGATGTCAATGTCTAGTCTGCTACATACCTGTAAGGACAGGAAACTAACACCTAAGACACCACTATTTGTTTCGTTATCATAAAGTTCTAACGTTGAGGAAAACTTTTTTTACCTGGACTTGATTCTTCTTTCTAGAATCAGAGAAGTCTAACCCCTTTCCCATGTAAGTTCTCTAAACACTTAACAAGAACTAACTTGTCTTTCAAGTTTTCCAGTGCCTTCCTCGTTTGGGTCACTTCTTTCCGACCAACTTCCAAACTGTCACTGTCCTTCGGGGTTGGCATTGGAGCAATACCCAGGTGTGCTCTGGACACTACTGATGCAGTGAGATTCCCTTAGGCCAGGGGTCCGCAAACTCATTACTCCACAGAGCCAAATATCAACAGCACAACGATTGAAATTCCTTTTGAGAGCCAAATTTTTTAAACTTAAACTTCTTCTAACGCCACATCTTCAAAATAGACTCACCCAGGCCGTGGTATTTTGTGGAAGAGCCGCACTCAAGGGGCCAAAGAGCCACGTGTGGCTCGAGAGCCGCAGTTCGCCGATCACAGGCTCCTCCACACACAGTGTGTCCTCCGGCTTAGCATATAAGGCTGGCCCTCATGTTCTTGACAAAGGCTGAGTTGAACTGAAATCTTAAGACTTTTTCACAGCAAGTGAAACCGCAACTCTTGTTCTCGTAAGATGCCAATCGTCCATCTAGCTTGTAAAGGCTCTTAGATCCTGTGATTCTAACAAATGAGCCTGGTAACCCAGCTGCCCATTGCCTGCTAGCTCCATCGGTTCCCGCCAAGGAATGCTCCCCTGCTGCTTTGGCCCTCGAGTGGCTTTGTCTTTCCTGTTTCAAATGCATCTGACCGACTTTGGATCTCTAAGCAATTCTTTGAAAATATAAAATACCAGGGAAATAATTATTACAGAGGTCTTATGTGTGCCAGGCCGTTTTAAATGCTTTAGGTGTGTCAACTTGTTTAATCCTCCTAACAATTCTATGAGGTAGGTAGTTATATTTATCCCCATTTTACAGATCAGGAAACTGAGGTTAAAAATGATTAAGTACTGCTGAAACTGGTTTGGTTCAGTGGATAGTGCATCCGCCTGCAGACTCAAGGGTTCCACGTTTGATTCCAACTAAGGGCATGTACCTGGGTTTCGGGCACATCCCCAGTAGGGGGTGTGCAGGAGGCAGCTGATTGATGTTTCTCTCATCAGTGTTTCTAACTCTATCCCTCTCCCTTCCTCTCTGAAAAAAATCAATAAAAAATATTTTTTTTAAATGATTAAGTACTTTACTCAAAGAAATTTATATTTGATGTATACCATTTATAAAACTAAATTTGACTATAGCTTTCAAGAAACATTTTTTCAAACATAAAGTATAAGTATAAAGTTCCACATATCAAAGATTTTGATTGCTCTATTTTGAAAAGGCCTACTTGTGTCCAGGTTTTAAGCTCTATATCTTAATTCCAAGTTCCCAATAAAGATTATTTTTACTCTAAATCATCCTGTTCTCTGTCCTCTCTAAAACCCCGGGAGGGAGTCCCTGGATTCCCTTTGTTTTCCCATGTTGGCCCTCTGGAAACTATAAAAGTATCGTTTCATCAGCCCCAAACATCACTGGCCGCCTTCAACCCAGCTCCCGCACCAAAACCTGAAGTTCCAAGACCTCGACAGTCACCTAGCCCAGTGGTCGGCAAACTGCAGCTCGCTAGCCACATGCGGCTCTCGAGCTGCTGTTTGCCACTGTTGACTAAAGAGTTTGCCGACCACTGACCTTGTCCATTCACATCACTTTACTAGAGAGAAAGTGCTTCTTAGATATCTTTACCAGATGCTACTTTGCACCTCAAACTCAACTGCCCTGAATTATTCTTCTCATTGAGCTAGCTGCACCTGTATTCTCCAGCTCAGTGAAACACAGCAGCAGCTTGATGAGACAAGAAATCTTTAATCACCTCTCCCCTCCCCTATACAGCCAACTTACCGAGAACTAACCCTTCTATCTCTGAGAGTCTGCAGTCCCCACCCCCTCTCCATCCACTGCCAGGGCCCTAGGCCAAGTCATCATCTCTCACTGCAAATCTGTGCCAGCTTTCCAACAGGCCTTCTCCTCCTCATCTGTGCTCTGCAGCTTGCCATGTTTGCTTTATCTTCACCCACAGACAACCATCTGCTTAGCAGAGATCCGGCCCTTAAAGATGTAGCCCCAACATACCCTTTCAGCCTCATCTCACTCCCAGGAGCCCACCCAGTGCTTGACAACCTGGAACAGGCATTAACTTGTATACCTGCTGCCCATAGCCCGCAACGGCTAAAGGATCCAGCTGAGAAAACACTGCTCTCTGTATACCACCCGACCAGAGGACGGTTCTGGAAAGGCAGGGCTCCCAGGGCCCAGGAAGGATGCACCTGCTCAACCAGCCAGAACCCTCCCTGATCCTCAGCAGCGGGCAGGCAGACCCGAGGTCACCCTCCTGCGGGGTCCTCCGCCCTGGGATGACAAATGTGTTCATGCAGTATTCTACGCATGTTACATGACACTCATTGATATGATGCTCATCTGTCATCTCCCTTTTATACATGAGGAAGCCAAAGCATAAACAGAGTAAAGAATTCACTCAAGGCTCCACTCCAAAGCCAGAGCTGGTTTTGTTTTTTATTTACTTTTGTGTTTCATTCAGACCTCCTCTTGACCACTCAGCTCTTAGAAAAGGCCAGAGGTCTAAAAGAGGGGAAACAGCCAAAGCCGGTTTGGCTCAGTGGATAGAGCTTCGGCCTGCGGACTGAGGGGTCCCGGGTTCGATTCCGGTCAGGGGCATGTACCTTGGTTGCGGGCGCATCCCCGGTAGGGGGTGTGCGGGAGGCAGCTGGTCGGTGTCTCTCCCTCGTCGACGTTTCTAGCTCTCTATCCCTCTCCCTTCCTCTCCCTGTAATCACCTCTGAGCGGGCAGGGAGGGACCTGTGGCTGAGCAGGATAGAGAGCTAGAAACGTCGACGAGGGAGAGACACCGACCAGCTGCCTCCCGCACACCCCCTACCGGGGATGCGCCCGCAACCAAGGTACATGCCCCTGACCGGAATCGAACCCGGGACCCCTCAGTCTGCAGGCCGACTCTCTACCACTGAGCCAAACCGGCTTCAGCAATAAAATATATTTTAAAAAAAGAAAAATAGAAGAGGGGAAACAATGAGGACAGGTACTCTAGAGCTTGGCCCATAGCATTCGGAATGTATTGTATTTGTGTACACGTGCCTAGCAAATCCTGCTCACCATTCAAGCCCTGCCAGAGTCCGTCTCTGTGAAGTGTTTCCCAGACCAGCCCTGAGCGCCTTGCATTCCCAAGGCGTTTCGTATGCAGCTCATCTCTGCACTGAGTGCTCTGTGCTGTGAGAAGCGTGTATCTGTCTCCTGCAATGCTCCATTTTCTAAGGACAAGTGAGCTCTCATTCCCTCTGTGTCCCAGGGTGGGGCCCTGTGGAAGGAAGGCAGGCAGAAACCGACCGAGGTCCAAGGAGGAAGCTTGCCCAAGGTCGAGCAGCAAATCTGGAAGTGGAACCCGGGCCTCCTGACTTCCAGGTGCTGCTGTTACCATACACCGTGTTGTCTTAGTCACCCACCGCGGTGCCAGGCCCGGCCAGAGGCTGCCCTCACCCAGCTGCCTCTCTGTAAGGACGGTGTGTGTGTGTGTGTGTGTGTGTGTGTGTGTGTAGATTTAGGGGAGGCCCAGGGGCAAGAGAGCCCGTTCAGCCGGGGCCGCTGACCTCAGACAGCCTGCCTCTGCCACGCCGTCCCTGTCCCCAGCGACTCCGGCAGCACCGGCTCTGTCCCTGAGGGCGGTGGCTGTAAGCGTTGGTGACACTGTGCAGGCATGAGCTGGTGTGTGTCTGACTGTGTGCCTGCATGTGTGTGTGGCAGTACTGGTGAGGGTATGTGTGCGACCGCTCAGCTTTGTGCTGTGTGTCGGCGAGGGGTGTCGGGTGTGTGTGTTTGCATTGGGAGGTCCGGGACTACAGTCTGACCCAGGCGGAAACAGCCCCTGTCCTCCCGGCTGCTCAGCCACAGGTCCCTCCCTGCCCGCTCACCAGCTGCCGGTGAGGATGGGTGCAGGGGCGCCTCGGCCAGGGCCTCCTGCTGGCCTGGGGGAGTGGACCCTGCACCTGCACCCCCTTCCAGGCCCCGGAAAGCTGGGCACAAGCTGCCTGAACAGACCTAGCTCCAAGCTGGCAGGTGCCCAACCTTGCACCAAGAGGCTTCCGCACAGAAATGCAGGAGGCCTCTGCCTCGGGTGTCTTTGGGGTGAGGACTGACAGAAACAAGTCACTTCTCCGGCCCAATGGCACCTCCGGTTGGAAGAGTTAATTCTCACAGGGCCCGAGGAAGGGGAGGGGGATTCTAAAAAGCCGCTGAGAAGGAGGTGCCAGGACCCTGGGCGGGGACCCCCCTTCCCCAATCTTACCCCCTTCTCCCTTCGCCGTGGCTCAGCCCCGTGCCGCACCGCACCCCGCCGGGCCCCCGACCCCCCGGCCCCCCCCCGCCGGTCCCCGGCCCCCCCCCCGGCCCCCCACCCCGCGGGGCAGAAGGCGCCGGCAGGTGGGGGAAGGGGATCCCTGCAGCCCGGTCCCCCGGACGGTCCTACCTGGCCGGGGCGCCGTCCCCGCCGCGCCGGGGCCCCGGGCTGGCCATGGCTGCCCCGCGCCGGCCGCCGCGGTATTAATAGCGGCCCCGCCGCCGCGCCCGCCGCGCCGACAGCTGCAGCGACACCGGAGCCGGGCCGCGCCCACTGGCCCCACCGCCGCCAGAGGGGGGAGCGGCCGCCTCCGAGGGCGGGAGGGCCGCCTGGACGGCCTGCGGGGCCTGGGGGGGGATGGGGGGGATGGGGGGGATAGGGGAGAGATGGGGGGATGGGGGGGATGGGGGGATGGGGGGGATGGGGGGGATGGGGGGATGGGGGAGAGATGGGGGATGGGGGGGATGGGGGGATGGGGGAGAGATGGGGGGAATGGGGGGTATGGGGGTATGGGGGAGAGATGGGGGGATGAGGGGGATGGGGGGATGGGGGAGAGATGGGGGGATGGGGGGATGGGGGAGAGATGGGGGGATGGGGGGGATGGGGGGATGGGTGAGAGATGGGGGGATGGGGGGGATGGGGGTCATCCGGGCGCAGACACCAGCCTGGACATCGTCCGGAACCTTCTTTCTCCCCCGCCCCCTCCCAGGGCCCCCGCTGCGGGGTTGGGAGCGGAGGTGGCTGTGCGGGTCCCCGCCTGGCCGTGGGGGAGACGGCAGGGTTTGGGGTGCGGGACTAAGAGGGACCCAACACCCCGCTCTTTTGGGAATGTCGGCCCCAGCTGGGCCCTTGCTGTCCTGAAGGGCTAGGGCTGGAGGAGGGAGGCTAACGGGCCGGGCCGCGTGAGTTGGGGGCAGTGGGAGCCTGGGGGCCTGTGGCTGGGGCCAGGGAAGGACTGGGTAGGAGGGGGCAGGGGTGTCAGCCTATAAGGTTGAGGTCCATATTGAACCCAGCTTTTCAGCCCCCCCCCTCCCCGCGAGGATTCCTGGGGGCTCTCGGCTTGCTCCACCTGTCACATACCCCACCCCGCCCTGTTTCTGTCCATTCCAGGCCATGTCCCCTGCCCCAGGTCCTTAGCCCACCAGTGTCCGGGTCACACTTCCAACACCCAAGTCTTTCTCCCCAAGAGAGAAGCTGCCCTCCCGTCCCAGACCTGGGCCTGGGCGCTCTTCTCCACTCAGCCCCCCGTAGGGAGGTCCTGACTCAATCGCAGAAGAATGCCGTGCTCGGTCCCAGCCGCCGTTCTGTGTGTGTGTTTCCTCAGAGAGGCCCTGAGTGGGGAGGGGGGAGGGGGGGTAATGGTGTGGATGTGCTGAACGCGTGTGAATTGTGTGTGTATCCGTGTGCCCCTCTGCCAACTGTATGAACACCGCCTGGCTGTGTGTGATGTGTGCGGAGCGGGAGATTGTGGGATTGTGTGGCCAAGAGCAATTGGGATGACCGCAGGGCCCATGCCTGTGTGCGGGTATGTCGATGTGGGATTGTATGCATCCAGGGGGAGTGACTGTGTGTTGTGGAGTTGTTGGTTTTTTTTTTATTTTATTGATTTTTTACACAGAGGAAGAGAGGGATAGAGAGTTAGAAACATCGATGAGAAAGAATCATCGATCAGCTGCCTCTTGCACATCTCCTACTGGGGATATGCCCGCAACCAATACACATGTCCCTGACCGGAATCGAACCCAGGACCTTTTAGTCCACAGGCCGACACTCTATCCACTGAGCCAAACCGGTTTCGGCTTTTTTTTTTTTTTTTTTTTTTTTAATTGATTTTTTACAGACAGGAAGAGAGAGGTGTTGTGGAGTTTTTATGTGTGCGGCCAGCTGTTGTGACTGTCCGTGCGGCATGCAGATAGGCCTGTGTGTGCCTGGGTGCCCGGGGGCCGAGGCGGGTGAGTGTGGACGGGTGTGAGGAGTGTCTGCTGAGTGTGAGGGAGACCTGCGTCGTGCTCATTAATTCACATATCTGAGTGTGCCGTCGGCGGCTGTGTATTTATATCTCTCTGTCTAATGCGAGGGGGTGGGAGACTAACACCCAGGACAGCCAAAGACACCCTTGTAAGGTCTGATGCACAAGAAAAGTGGGGTTTTGGAGGCAGCTGGTCACTTTCTGACTTAGCCCTGAGGTATGCCAGGGGAGGAGGCTGGCAGAGCTTCAGCTGCTGGTCATTTGACAGCTGCTGCCACTCAGAGGGGAGCCCGGGGAGGGGGGAAGGCCTGCCAGCGGCGCTGTTTGCTGTGGGTGCTAGGCAACAGGCAGCAAGGGTGGCATGAAAAAGGTCATCCCGTCCCCTCCAAACCCCTACCTCGCCCAGGAGCCGGCTCTGAGCAGTCCCCAAGACTGAACTCCTAACCTCCCCCTCAGGCCCTCCTTTGGGCTGAAACACTGCATCGCCCAGAAGCTCCTCGACCTCCAGGCCTCCGTTCTGCTGTCCCCTCTCCTAGAACAGCCTTCCCAGCGCTTCACATCCCGTGTCTACGCTTCTTCCAGCCTCAGCTTACATGTCATCTCCTCAGAAAGGCCTTTCCTGGTGAGCCCCCTCCCCCCATGAGGACCACCCACTTACTGCGATCATCACCTCTTTATTTCCTGTGCAACCCTTACCACAACCTGCAATATCATTGCTTCTTTTCCATCCTGTCTCTGCTTTCCCCATAGAATGGAAGCCCCTGACTTTGTGTGTCTTATTTACTGCTATGTCCCCAGGGCCTAGCACAGGGCTTTAGCATATAGTAGGATCTAAAAATAAAAATAAAAAAAGGTGAAGGAAAGCAGGATGGCCCTATCTAGGCCAATTCAGGCAACATTTGATGCTTGCCATGTGCCAGGCCCGGGCCTCTGATCATCAGGAAGCCCCCGTGTCCTCAGGGAAACAGACATGTGCACGTGCCCAGATTGTGTACACCAAGGCCGAGTGAGGTGCTGAGGCTGTAGGATTCAGTTCACGTGGCACACATTGGCGCCTGGCCTGTGCCAGGCCCTGTGTCAGAGCAAAGAGCTGTGTTTGGCCCAGACCCCTGCCTGCAAAGAGCTCACAGGATGGAGGGTGCAGAACTGCCTCCTGGGGCAACGAGCTCAGGCAGAGAACAATGCCGGATCACTGGGCTGAGTGATGTGATGGCTCAGCCTGGAGGACAAAGCCGGGCCTGAAGAGACGACGATGGATGCTCTGCGTCAGGCACTGTCCGCCCCTCCCAAAGCCGAGGCCAGGAGGAGAAGAGATCTGGGCCAGCTCCTCTCCGTCCTCCAAGCTTCTCAGCCCTGCCGTCTGTCCTGGGGCTGACTCCTGCTCACCGTCTCCCCTGGGCCCTGGCCTCATGGTTTCAGGTGGAGTTTGGCCATAGGAGACACGGGCAGGAGACCAGAGGGAGGGAGCAGAGTGAGATCTGGGTACTTCTAACGCCTCCTTCCCCTGTGATTTTGGCACCTCCACCCGTTCCTGCTGGCTGGCCTGCACCCTCGGATACATCTCTCTCTAGGTTCGTTCGCAAAGCTCCCTCCCTTCGTTCCTTCGGGCCTGAGGGGAGTGACTACATTCCACGGTTGGGACCCCAGGGTGCCTCGCCATTCCTGCCCACATCTCTGCGAACAGTCCCTTCGTTAAACCCTCTTCTGGCAAAGACTTTGAGTGTCCCCCTGTTTCCTGCCAAGACCCCTGAGGTAAGGACTACCCCCAGGGAAAATGAGCCCTTGGCAGAGAATTTAGGGGAAACCCTCTTCCTTCCTTCCTTCCTTCCTTCCTTCCTTCCTTCCTTCCTTCCTTCCTTCCTTCCTTCCTTCCTTTCTTTCTTCTTTCTTTCTTTTAATATATTTTATTGATATATATATATATTTTATTTTATTTTTTTTACAGAGAGGAAGAGAGAGGATAGAGAGTTAGAAACATCAATGAGAGAGAAACATTGATCAGCTGCCACCCACACAGCCCCCACTGGGGATGTGCCCACAACCAAGGTACATGTCCTTGCCTGGAATCAAACCCGGGACCTTTCAATCCACAGGCCGATGCTCTATCCACTGAGCCAAGCCGGTTTCGGCGAGACCCTCTTTCTAAAACACCACCCAAAACCAACCAGAATCAGGAAAGTTGTGAACAGATCAAAACCCCATTCTGGGTGAATAGTGATGCTCCAGGCAGAGTGCTGAGAGGTCCGGCTTAGCTCACCTTACTCAGGTTTAGGCCTATAGTGACCCTGGCCGAACAGGTCAGGGAGGGGGCTCTGAGAGAGGGAAGAGGTGGGGGTGACTGGCAGAGGGTGAGCTTGGAAGGAACGAGGCACAGAGGGTAGCAGTTTCCACCACACCCCAGAGCCTGCCCCACAGGACCTTTCGAACCCAGCCTTCCTGGACCCCAGTTCCCAGCCTGTGAAAGAGGCAGTTAATACTCTGACAGGAGTGCTGCGCAACAGTCCAATGCGAGGCTCAGCACGCGAGCGAGTGGCAGTGGACTTGTCCCGAAAGAAGGCTGAGCGTGGAACATTCCCGTTATGACTGGTGCAGACCATCCAGAGGGGGGAGGAGGCTGGCGGCACCCAGCAGGGCTGGGCCCTCCCGCCCACTGCTTCCAGGGAGCACGGGTCCAAGCCCAAGCTTTGGAGGCACAGGCCCAGGCCTAAAGCCTGCCCTGCACTGACTTTGTGACCTTAGGAAAGTCACTCTACCTCTCAGAGGTGGTGTTTTTCTCTGTAAAATCAGGTGACACTTCACCCTTATGGGTTTGCTGTGAGCATGAACTGAGAAAACAAAAAGCATTTAGTCGAGTACTGATACACTGGGAGTGCCCCCCAAATATTAGCTATTAATTGTGTGTGTGTGTTTTTAGTTTTTCTCAATTTTTTTTGGTATTTTTGTTCCAGCTATTATTTTTAAAACCCCTTTTTCTCCCTCTCACTGCGGTACATCTGTCTATTTTTTCCTTCATTTGGTACTTTATGCATCCATTTCAACATTTACTAAGCCAGCAACGCGCTAGGTCCTAGGAACACAGAAACGAGGAAATCATCAAAGCAAGAACAATCTCTGTACTTCTTCCTGCTGTATCCCTAGATCGTAGGTTTGCAATAAGTAGTGTCTGAATGAGAAAATCATATTGGCTGTTTTCTTGAGAACTTCCACATGCCAGGCGCTAAGCTAAGCACTGTGTCTGCGTGATTCCACGGAATCCTCAGAGCATCGACAGGCCTCTGACATGAGACTTTAAGA